GGAGATGCCATTACAACATGTGCAAAGACACTGAGAAAGTCAAGCAGGGGCAGCTTGATACTATTGCGTTGCAATACATAAACGAGCAGGAGCACGGGAAGGTAATTGTTGTACTTGGGGAGAAAGCTAGAGTGGAGCAGTTTGCTTTGAATCTGGATGTCGATTGCATCTGGGTCCATGGCGATCTCGAAGCTAAGGAAAAGGTGAAGAGGATACAAAACTTTAAAAACCAGGATACCAAGGTGCTAGTGGGGACAAAGCTGGTTTGCGAGGGCATTGACATAGCCGAGGTTCGACTGGTGCTTCTTGTGGGGTACGTGCCGCCAGTGTCGACATACATCCAGATGGCAGGACGTTTGAGAAAGGCGGGGAGGTGCGTGACACTCTGGAACAAACGGTCGTTACACAAAGATTCCATGCGTGTGCGGAACTACGCCAAGGCGATAAGGGAGTTTTATGGGTTGGAGGAGGAAGCAGGTGAGGAGACCGCATGTGGGGAGACCGCAGGTGGGGAGATCGGAGGTGAGCCGGGTCTTGATGATGACGAAACTTCAGGTGTACCGGATGATGAAGAAACTGCAGGTGGAGCGAGCACTCGTGAAGAAGAAACTACAGGCGGTCTTGGCATTGCTGATGTACAGCTTGAAAATAGACCGCTAAGAGATACACACGACAACACAAGTCAAATAATGAGACTTGAAGATCCGACAACAGGTACAGCGGATAGTGCTCGCGAGAACATTTCTTCTCTTGTATATCAAGAAACTCTCTCCTCTGCTAGTCCTTCCGCCTCTACCAATCCCATCTCGACCAGCGAAAGTATTCTCTCGCCTGCCCCCTTCGCGAGTACTCCAGACTCCCCTTCACTCCCCCCTCTATCTAAAAGACAACAAACTGACTCTCCTCTCAAGATCCGCGTCAAACAACTGTACCAGAATGTGTCCGATATATTTGCATTTCTAGACATCCCCAGGCCCCTTCTCTACGCCATGTATGGAACAGACTACAGATACTTCAACTCGAACATCTTTCTCGCCAAGAGGAACTGGTGTACCGGATGTCTCATGTCAGAGGTTACCTGTATCTGTTGGGATAACAGTGTGTCCGTTGCGAAGCTGGGCAGCGATGTCATGTGCGTTCTTCGAATGATATACGATGGCGATCAGTTTGACAGCTGGTACACGCGGTGCCAGAGTATTGGTATCCAGAACTTGATGGTGGAGTTTGGAGAGCAGAAGGACATGCTGAGACGTCTATTCATGCAGCGGTATTCGAACTACGTGGCGCTGGTGGAGAAGCAGGGTATCAAGCGGGGACATCTATTCTTACATGGTACCGTTGCTGCTCAGACTATGTATAACAATACATGGAACAGACTTGCCACAAGGCAGGCAGACGTACTGGTATTCTTCGGCGATGGTGGGAAAGTTGAAACCTGTCCTGAGATGTGGAAGTGCAGAAACATACACGACATGCGGAAACTACTGGAGTCGCGGCGACAGAGATATGGAAATCTGCCCTTAATGAAAGAGTACGAGTATCGCATGGGGTATCTCCTGGCGCAGTTTGAAAGTGAGGCGATACGCAACTTTGTATTTCAGAGTACCAGGGATACGTACATCAGGAAAGACAAAGGACAGAAGGTGGTGCAGCCGCTTACATGGGA